TCAGATTGCTCTAATGAAACAGGGGCACACATCTACTGCTTTAGCACTGTGCCCTGGCAGGAGCCCTGCCACAAGGCACACTTTGCCCACCCACACCTCGTGTGTGTGTACCAACTCCAGAACTTGAAGCAATGCAGCCACCTTAGAGCAGCCATGAGCACCTGACCAGCACCCCTGCCTCCCCTCCTCCCTCCAGGGTCCCTGTCCCAGTAACCCACACTCAGCAGTACTCTCATTGCCTCTAGGAGTTGGTGTGCTTGAAACAGGAGTGAATGGGGGGGTCTGATTTGGCATTCACAGACATGACAGGGCAGGAGTGAATGACCAGTCCTACTCACTCTTTAGAGCAGTCTGCATTTGTTCTCTGATGGGCAAGGAGAGCCACTGAGCTGGGTCAAGGACTTCAGTCCTGCAGCACAGTGTAGGAATGATCTCTTGCTAATTAAAATTAAGAAAACCAAATGTGACTGGCAAAAACGACTTCATCTTAAATATTTCATAACTTCTTGAGTGACGAGTTGACCGCTTTTCTCCCTCCATCCATTTGATAAAACGGCCAGCAACTCAGGAGCAGAACTTACATGTAAGTTATACATCCTGCAGCTTGTTTATACCATGCACAGTGCTCTCTATGCCAACATCACTAATGCAATAAAAGCAGCCAACACAGTCCTAATTAAAACACTGTGGTCTCAGAAGATGTAAGGCAGCCCCTAAGAGTTCAGCATTGCCATAGCAACTATCTCCTGATTTTCCTGTCCTTGCTCCAAAACACAGTATGTTTGACAAGAAAAAATGAAAAGAAGGAACCCAGCCAAACCTCAGGAAAACAGCCAAGTTGCCTAAATCTTTTGCACTTTCATCAGGAGACTTTCCACAGCTTTGGGAACCCCACCCTATGGGCCTGTCAGAGTCACCCAGCAGCAGTACTGGGGGAATCCATCAGCTGGACTGAGACTCTGGCACCTGATGTCACTCACAACAAACACACTTGTGTGTCATTGAATGTATTGTGGCATAGAGGTCTGTCCATTTAACCCTTGCAACATTGAGATTTTTCATGTTGCCAGCAAAATAAATCTTTAGAAGAACGTATGTTTTCATAAACTCCAAAGGTAATGGCAGCATCAGGACGCGTTCATAGTATCATAGAATCATAGAAGTAGGGTTGGAAGGGACCTTGTAGATCTTCAAGGCCGACCCCCTGCCTGGGCAGGAGGAAAACTGGGCTCAAATGACCCCAGCCAGGTAGGCATCAAGCCGCTTCTTAAAGAGCCCCAGGGTAGGAGCCAGCACCACTTCTCTTGGAAGTTGGTTCCAGATCCTAGCTGCCCTGACTGTGAAGTAGTTCTTACGGATGCATTGTACAGTGGACTGCAGTCTTGACTTCCTCCTCATTCCTGACCTGGTTATAGTACTGAAAACCAAAGGGCTAGACTCCATCCTAAATTACACCCATGTACCCCAGACAAATTCTTGAGGATTTTTTTGAATGAGGCTCATCCCTAGGTAGGAACCTGGATGAGATGCCACTCCATGTGACTGTAACACAAGCCTGGGGAGCTATGTTCCTGCCTGAGCAGCTAACTCACAGTCTGACTTTGAGTAGGCCACTGCTCTGGTCTGCACCTCAGGTATCTCATCCATAGAACAAGGATAATTGTCCTCCTGGAGCTCGTGGGTTACTGTGCAGCATCAGATTTGTGAAGTTCTTTGCCCTGAAGGAGCTGCAGAAGTGCCAAGTAGTACTGTAGTAAAGCGCTGAGCTGTGCACAATGAGTAGCCATTTGGTTATCTTGTCTATTTGTTATAAATTACTGGGAATAGTTAAGTAATGTCCCTGTCCCAATCAACAGCCCTTTGGGTAATTAACTGGAGTAACAGTAATCCTGGCAATTACATTCATGCTGGTGTCAGATGGTGTGTGGCATCATTTCTGGTGTGATTCAGCACTGATGAACTGGTATGTCATTTGAAAGTGCTGCTGTTGAGGAACCTTCTATTTGGCAGAGTGAGTTACCCATCTCTCCAGCTCAGACTGTTGTGTAATGATAACAACAGCTGGTTTTCTTTGCTAACTGTTCACAGCGCAGTTAAGGAACAGCAGTGACTGATGCCTCTCATGGAAGAAACCTGCTTTACTGCTAACTGCACCAGGTGGGTTTTAACTCTCGAGAGTCGGTGAGGGTTTTTTATAATCTTTCTTCCTCCAAAAATTTGAAGGTAACATTATCCTGTTTGCTCCACACTGCAGGAAATGGTGCCGTGTATTTCAACAAAGCTACATTTCAATAAAGGAGATTTATCTTTGCTGCATGTTCAGCCTAGCAGTGTGGTTCAATGTTTAAGGCATCAGCCTAAGAACAAAGAAGACCTAGTTTCTGTTCCTAGCTCTGCTTTACAACTTTAGTTAAATAATTTCATCTCGTTGTGCCTCAGGGTCACATCCGTAAAATGGGTCCTCATGTCTGTGAAGTACTCTAGCACAGCATTTCTCAACCTGTCGGTCGTGACTCAAAAGTGGGTCACAAGAATATATGAAAGGGTTGTGAACAAACTTTAAAAAGGGATACTCCTTGAAGAGAAAAACATGGGAAACTGTAGGCTTTTCTTTGCAGGCTATCAAGAGTTCCAGCTCAGGAACCAGATCTCTGTGTCTGCCCTTTCCCAGGAGGACTTAGTGAGGCAAATTGTGTACAGGCATGTTGGTACATGGATTGCATGTGTTAAGATACCTGCACACCCACCCCCTGCCCTACACACTGAGGGGCTGAGGCCTGAGGGCAGTGGGTCAGGAGTGAGGGGCACTGAGTTGGGACTGGCCATCTATGTTTACAGATAGGTCCTGGTACAAAAAAGGTTGAGAACCAGTGCTCTAACATGAACAGTATGTGTCAGGACACAGGAAGAGCTAGCTCAGAGCCAACTGGATTGATCTTTTGCAAATGTAGTGTTGTTTCATTTATTCCTGTGTGAGCAGTCCCTATTGTCACTTCTCTTTCTGCACTTGGTCCTCTCGGGAGGACAGAGCCAAGCTAAACATGTTTGTCTGCCCTCCCAGGTGCCATACAGACATAATGGGACATTTTCAGTGGGTCTGCTTCATTTTCCCAAGGAAATGCTGCATTGGCACGTGCATGTAGGCTGGTTAGAGATATCTCCAGCTCAGTTCTCAGACATCATGTGGTCTTTACATGTACCAATAAGCATATGCATGAAACATAACAGGCCAGCTGAAAGTTGGGCATAATGATTGTATAAATACGTTGTTGGCATTATGCGCATGAGTCCTGGGAGAAAGTCTCTATTGCCCTCACTGGGCATGTCTACATATTCATTAATATGCTGTAGTTACTGCGTATTAAGTTTAGTACCTGTAATAACACTGGCATTAGCACTACTGCACAGTAGCACCGGTACACACCTTTTAAATGACGCTAATGTACAGTAAACTAATTCTACTGTGCATTAGCACAATAGCACAGTTTTTGCCATGACGTGCTAATATGCAATTGAATTAACCTACTGCACAGTTAGCACTGCATGTAGATGCTCCCACTATGTGTGATAGTAAGGCCTTTGAGCTCAAGCTAAAATTCCCTGGGTTTAACTGCAAAATGCCTATAATATTTAACTGAAAATCTCTGGGCTCCCACTCTCCCCCCCCTACTTCCCTTGTCAGACAGAGCCTGAATCTATTAACCATGTGGGCAATTTGCTGATTGCAAAGCTAATCTATTTTACCTGGTGTATTATCTGGAGGGCTTAGACCAACTGAGGTGGGATGGAAAGGGTTTTACATTTATGCTGGCAAACCCACATAATTTTGGTTGGTATTTTTTTAAAGCCAACTGCTCTTGCTGCCACTTTAGTCCTTACGAACAGAGATGGGACTGTAAATGGTGACCTGAGCTTTGGGGAAACACTTTTTTTATAAGCAAAATGGACTGTTATCTCCCCTGGCTGAGTGCTAATGGATGTATTGCAGAGTTTACGCTTTAAATCCAAATAAACAGGAACAAAGTGAACTACTGAAACACACTTTTGAGGAGGAGACTATATGGGTGATGTGAGTAGAGGGGGAAGAGGAAACCCTGGCTCCCCAGAAGACTAAAGAAACATTAAAAAGGTCCAAATTGAATCTCAGAATCATAGGGAAGCAGAGCTGGAAGGGACCTCCAGAGGTTTTCTAGTCCAGACTCCTACATAAGGTTGGATCATCCCTATCCACACCATCCTAAACAAATCCTTTATGTAACTTATTAACAAAACTACAGAGTCAACCCTGACACAACCAAAAGACATAACACCCTACCCTAATCAGCCACAGGTAAGGCAGGGGGACCACAGTGGCCAATGTCTTGGTGCTGCAAAAGTTGTTAAAATACAGTAGAGAGATCCAAGGAAGAGGGCATTTGGCTGAAGGCCAGTTGCACAAATTATAGCAGGGAAGAGAGCGCTTGGATTAAGATACCTGCTTAGTATGCCACTGCTAAAGGGAGCTCACGCTCCTGCCCATGCTTCCTGGAGTGATTTTTAGACTCTGCATCAGGGGTTGGCCACCTAAGATCTGCAAAGTGATTTTATCCCACTCTCCAAACATGTTGGTGCAAGGACCCGCCATCTAGTGGCCACCTCCCTTACCTGCCACCTCCAGCCCAAGGAGGACCAAGTTGTGTTAATTCAGCCTGCTCTTACTGAAAGGTTGCCAGCCCCCTGCACTACACTACAAAATGCAGGGGACCCATGACTGTTCAGAGCAAGTCTAAACTGCAGTCTATCTAGCTATGTCTTTGTGTTTGCTGTGCACTGCCTTTTTAAACCTCGAAGAAGCCTGCTATCTACACGGCCAGGCTGCCATTTTGTATTCAATCCACTACAGGCTATCATAGACAAGAGGCACGTCCGTGGTGTGCTCCCTCACCGATATCTGTTCTCTTTACAGCAAAGTCTGTTCTAACTAAAAGTATGGGTTTGCTTTCAATGTCTGAAAAGATGTCATACAATTTGAATGCAAGCAATTATCAGGAAGGGGCAGCTAGACTGAAAGCTCTTGGGAGATGGGATGCTTTTCTCTAGCCCCTTCCCCACTAGCTTTCCACTGAAGACATGAAGGTGAGTGCATGCATGTGTGTGTGAAAGAGAGAGAGAGACAGGAAGAGAGAGAGTCAGTGACAGAGTCTTACAGATTGATGCATGTCCACCATATTTTGGTGCACCTCCATTAAGGCTACGGGGTTATTTTAATTAATTTGCTAAAAAGACTAATTCTCCCTGGGTGAGAATGGCAGCATCATTGTGCACCATGCCCTTGAACGGCCTGTCTTGTCTCTCCAGACTGGAAAGTAACCTGGCCAACACAGTTCCATGCATTTCTTACAATGCACTCACCATGAGCGTGGTACGCAGAAGTGCTGAATCCTCACAGCACCTCTGAAAATCAGGCCATGTAGCCTCTTGCAAATTCCATCCTGGTGTGCTTAACTAAAGGGCCTGGGGAAAGAAGTTCTTTTCTTTAGCCAACACACAGACACAGCATAGGCAGTAGTGCAAGCTTCACTGTACTACTGGTCTCTTGACTGGGACTGCTAACAAGATGCCCAATGAATGCCATCTGTTGTAGTTGTCTTTGAAATCCAGGCACTTGCCCATGGGGGAGTGGACCAAGACTGCCCCCTCTTTCAGCACAGGCCACAAGACACACAGTATAATAATTTCTAAAATACAATGATATTTATCAGCAAGTCTCTTTCAGCGGCAGGGGCTGGGGCAGGTGCAGGAGGGCCATTTTATTCCCTGTAAATTCCAGGTTCAGCCAGAAGCTATAGACAGCACATAACCTCCCCCAGCCCACCCCGAGCACAAAGCACGGATCACACAATTGAGTACCAGTCCTTTGCAAGTATTAGTCTGGCACTGGCTGGCAGTAGATTCTGCCTCTTCTCGGCTTTCAGCGGGTAGGAGGGCAGGACGTATTCCCAGCCTGAGTCCCCTTAGCAGTTAAGTATGATTTACAGCAAGCAAAATCTCAGGACATCTGCAATGACAGAGCTTCAGTGAGCATCATAAACACACGCACACACACAGAGCAGGAAAAAGGCTGAGTTGCACCCCTTTGCTACCACAAAGCAGTCAAGAAAGAGCTCTCAGGAAACAAGGTACCATTCAGCTTTTGCTTTTACATACTGTACAGAGATCTATAAATAGCTCCTTGGCATTGATATTCACAGCTGGGATCCTTCAATGGTGAATTATAAAGGAGGCAAAATGTCTCCAGCTGCTTCCCAACCTGCAGATGAAGAAAGCAGAGACCCCAGCTACCAGATCTCTTGTCCCGGCAGCCTTCCCAAGTGCCCTCTTCCTCAGCGATGTCTCACTCTAGCAATGCTCTCCTCCCTCCTCCGGACTGGTTGCCCATCATGACATGTTGACTGTGCCAGTCCTAACCTGCGCCGCGTTTTGCTTCACCTCCGGTTCTAAAAGGGATCAGTGCAGGTCCCCATCTGTTGCTCTGCACCGCCGCTCCGCTGAACAGACAGACGTGTTGGTAAAAAGAAAAAAGAAAAGAAAAGAAAAATGAAAATGAAAAAGGTCCTTGTGCCCACAGCTGCCAAACGAAACCTGGAAACCTCTTGTCGTGTTCCTCGGAACACGCTTGTCCCAGCCATTACAGCTGCTGTGGGATCCCCTGTTCCTTGTAGCCTGTGAGGGGGAGGGAAGGGAACACGATTAAAATGTTGTTTTGTGGTTCAAAGCCTTGGCAAGCTTTACACAAGCGCTAAGTCCTGAGCCTGCCCTGCTTCAGAGCAGCTTCTGAGATAGGTCTGGACAGCCATCATGTTGGCCAGATGAGAGGAGTACTTGGCTTAAGAGTATGCACACGAGACGTGCTGATGTGACCCATTTGGAGGTGATGCAAATACTGACCGATGTGATTCCCAAGTTCTGCCCAGAAATTGGAAGTGGCTTGACCTGAATTGTTGCTCCTACAGCTATGGTTGCATTAGGGAGGGCTGGGAGGCACAGTTTGTTGTATGCACAGCTAGCTTTAGGGCAACAGCATGGTGTGGAGCAGCAGCTGTGATTCCCTTCTCTGGTGCTCTCAGAGCACTATGGTTGAAGACAGGGCCTGAGGACCCATTCAAACTCCTGTCCTGCCAAGCTAAACTCTCCTTTTGCTATGTCTTTTAGACTCCTTCTAGTCCTCCCTTAAAATCCACCTCTGTTATGACATCTACAAAAACTCTTGGCCATGATTAGGTGTGCTGGCAGTGCTGTTTATTGGAATGATCGTCATCATCTCTCTGTTACCTTGGGGTTTCTCATCTGTTTGTGGTAGCTGCCAGCAACTGCTCATGATAAATGCAGACTTTACACTCTTTGGGACAGGCCTGATCTTATATTTTTATGACTGTAGAGCAGCAGCCAGCAACCTTTTACTGGTGGGGTCTAGCTTAGGTCGTAGGCAAACCAATTAACTAGGATGCAGTTGCCACTGCTGGCACCTGGGTCAGCACAGGGAGCTCCCAGTTGCCTGACTGAGATGCTTGCTGCTCATCCACTACTGCTTCCCAGTGGCTCTGTGGGCTGGGCTGTAGGTTGCCAACCTTTGCTGTAGAGTGTCTTGCATAGTGGAGCCCTGACAGGGGCATCTAGGAGCTACAGGTAATGCTGAAGATGATTTTTTGGATGAATAGTTCATTGGCTAAAACCCCCCCACACAGTTTGGAGGCTCTTACAATCATTTGTGAATACAGACTGTATTTGGTAAAGTGTTTCTGTGAAAAAACAAAGAATAAGGACGTTTTGGAAAAGTCAAGCTGCCAGGAAGCCATCAAGCCAGGAAATCAGTTCCTCACCCAGTTCTGAACCAAAGTGGTCAGAATGGCACCTCTTTCACTGCATGAGCCATGGTGCTTGGGGGGAAAGCAAATGTCAGCGCCCTGCCCGCCTCATGGGAGCTCACTGAAAGAGGGAGCAACCCTCACAGCAGCAACCTCTGGATCTTCAAAACAGATTTCCCAGTGGCAAACTCACTGCTTGTTCACAAAGGGATCACAGAAGTGGCTCTATACATGAGGAATCAGCTTTCCCCAAATTTTGCTTTGAGTTTGGGAATTGAACCCATTGTGAAGCTTAGCTGAACCCATGTAGTTTTGACTGGTTTTCATCCAGAGCCACAGATCAAGCCAGGCTTGGCTGAATCTTGGCTTCCAGCAGCCCACTGAAAGCTCTGTGAACTTCTGTTTTCTTTCTAGGAAGCTTGTATCAAGTGCAGGCTTTGGAAGCCAGGTGAATATCCCCAGTGTTTACAATGAAGGGTTTGCACAGCTCTAGTTTTCAAACAGTGACTCCCTCAGCAGGTTTTCCCTCTGAGATAATGAATATCATACAGAGCACAGTTGGACTTCTCCATCCCATGTTTCAGGAGCCACATGCCTTATGCAGTACAGAGCACAGTTTACATTTGGGGGGCATCAATTTCTCTGGTGTTTGACAGGTCTTTTTTTCTTTTTTGGTCTTGTTAGTTTTCCCTGCACCACCACACCTACAGTACTGACTGTAGGATGTGCAGCAAAAGGTCAGCCTGGAGAGGTTGGGGTGCTGCAGAAGTGTGCAAGATAGATTAAATGTCTGCGGTGTTCTCAGTGCTGGCTGCTTGCACACTAAGAGCTTCCTGTAAATGCTAACTTTTCTGTTTGAATTATCGCGTGCATATATGTAGGATGACAACATAGAATTAAGGGAAATGCAAGCCTCTATTACCCCCAGGGTGTTTCAGCAACTGCTCTTTCTAAACAATGCTGGATGGCATAAAAGCTTCAGTGGCAACTTCATGTGGGAGGCTACCAAAAAGTTTGTATTTTCTTTTTCTCATTTAAATTTAAGAGCATCAGTTTAACTTGTTTCTGTTAAACTCCACATTAGTTAAATTAATGTAACCCTTTGTGCAGATGCTCACATATTGGTTGGAAATAGTTAATCATTTCAACATGCACCTCTAAACTTACATGTGCAAAGTAAGGTAATATAAAACCTGATCTGTACTGACATGTGTAATTGGTGTAATGATCTCATTTAAGAAACAAAGTTTCCTACATTTCAGTAGAAACAATTATACCAGTAAAAGCTGGCAAGTAGATGGGGTCAACAGCATAAACGAGCTTGTTATTCCTCTCGTACAGGAGTAGCTAGCCTGGAATGCAGCATCTTGATGTCAGTATAACTCCTTGGTTTTAGTACTTTGAGCAGATTAATATAGTTAAAACAGTATAGTTTTCTAGTATTGATGGCCCTTAGTTAGGGCTAATTCAATCTGAGCGTGACCACCCACAGAACTGCATCAATTTAATTCTATCAGTTTAACATCGCACCTTTAGGTAAACTGATGTTATTTTGCATGTAGGCCAGAACCCAGGAACTAAACCACACATGGGACCATCCTCTTAGGTGATTTGGAGATGCCTGCACACACACATGTACACACACGCACATACACATACACAGAGACACATTTTGGCAGAAAGTGAAAGCCTATTGAGGCAAGAGGTCTGTACCTGCGGCAAAGGGACATTGGCTTCAGTGGGAGTTTGTCTGAGGAGGTAAGTCAGAATTTTGCCCAGTGGAAGTTAACAGGCATATTAGAAACAAAACTTACCTTGTGAAACTTTGATGATGGACAAAAGGAAGCAAAGGAAACATGAAAGAAAGAGAGAGGGAAAAATATAACTGTAAAGGGACTATTCAAAACATAAAGAACCAGAAAAGAATGAGTAAATTGAGGCTGCAGAGTAAACAGAGAACAGCTGCTCTACAATTAAACATTCACACAGATCTAAACATTCTGTGGCTTTATGTCTGTATTTAGCTAAAATACTTACATTTCAAGTAGCTGATTTTAGTTGGGGATTTTGTGTGCGCAAAATCAAGTAGTTGATTTTACTTGGGGATTTTGGGGGGAGGTGGGGGGATCCTCAGCTTGAACATGACTGGACCTGGGCTGTAGAGTTGGGAATGGCACTTCATAAACCAAGAGGTTATCTGACAAAACCTAAGGCAGTAACACTGTGAAAGTGTGTTGTGTTGGCTGAAGAGAACTGCTGAATTGGGGGCATCGGGAAGCAGAACGCTATCCTTACAGGAAGATACATAGTGTGAAAGACTGGAAAAGACAACTCCTGGGTTCTTCTGCCACTTAGGCAAGAATTAACTGTAGGCACCAAGTAAATCAGTAGCCAATCTGTGCCTCAGTTTACCCATTTTGTACAAATGGGACTTAGACTAGAAGAAATGGGGTGGGACTAGATGACCTCCGAGTGCCTTTGTAACTTGATGATCTTAGGATAGTGCCTAGCACTTGGTTAAAATGATCAAAGTTGGGTTATCGTCAAAGTTGGTAAAATACTTTAGGGACCTTATAGTAGTGTTAGAGTGATGTTGCAGCTGTGACGGTCCAGGAAATATGTGAGAGGCAAGGATTTTTGTGGGAAGTAGACTTTACTGGCCCAACTGCATGGTTGGAGCTGACTTAGACAAGCTTTCAAATGCAGGGCACTCTTCTTCAGGTTTCCCTCAGGTTTTAATCTTTCACTGCACCTGCTTTCTCCTAAGACCTGAGGAAGAATGCCTTGCATTTCAAAAGCTTGTCTAAGCCTGTCCCAGTTAGGCAGTTGGGCCAATAAAAGATACCATCCACAAAAATCCTTAAGAACCTTATGTTACTGTAGCATCAATCAGGACTGATTATGAGATCTCAGAAAGGACTACTTCCACATGCTGTCCTCTGGATGGGTAAACCTTAGAAAAATAACTATAGGTCATCCTCAACATTTATCTCCTCCCAGGAACGCTTGTTTAGTCAGATAACTGGCCTCTCTTTTTCTATTGTGGACCTCGAACACCCTCCCTATCTGAGCTTTGCTTTGACAGGATGGAGAAAAGACTTTCTAAAGTCCCCTATTATGCCCAAATACAGTAGCTAGGTAATTCTTCAGTGTGGTTAGCGGGCTCTGAACACTATAACTAGCAGAGGAGTGATGAGTGGACAGCAGGATTACAGGTATTTCCTTATTACCTGTTGGGAGTAAATCCTTGAGAATCAGATTGCTGTCACCTATGCAGCCTGCTACAAACTAGCAGTGAGAGCCCGCTGCAGCAGGAACATCAAGCATTCCTTACGTTAGGCAACATTACCATATTTATTCACATACCACATGCCCCTGAATAAGTTGTGTACCTTGTTTTGGGCAAACAGAATGAAGAAAAACATATTGTTCTTTGACCAAAGAGATGGGGAGCAGCCAGAGACTTGCTTGCCATTGCAGGGGCTGCAAGCGCCAGCTGGGCAGAGCAGAAGCAGAGTCCTGTTATCAGCCTCTCTCCTTCCCCCAGTTAAGATCCTGCTACTGCAACAACAATGCTAACCCTATTACAGCTGTAGCCTAACCAAAGGCAGACCAACACTGTTATAAAAAAGCTTAATTAAGTAGTGGCTGTGAGGGGGTTAAGTCTGTAGTTGTTGGTTGCA